ATTGAGATACCAGAACCAAATATGGGAGGAAGTGATGGCAGTGACCCAAGGCAGGAAAATAAATTTTCCTCATAAAATCAGTGTTTAATAGATGTGGGTCCTAATGAGCTCAGACCAGCCCCTCTGACTCAGTAACAGGCAGAAGGCTGGATTTGTGCCCTGAAGTCCTACTCACCTCCTTGTTTTTGAAATTATATTCATTCCCTCGTGCAGGCCCAGCTGCTGTTGTGCTGCCTGGGACTCTGCTGTGTAACTACAAATGTTTAGAACACTTCGCATCAAAGACTGTTACCTCAGATAAGGGAACTGCTTCCTGTACCCAGGAAGGAATACGTGCACTGATGTCCAAACAATGCAACCCTCTTAGAGCCTTTACAGGTACCATCAGAATCTTACACACACACCAGAACCTAGCAGTCATACCTCTGGGACAAAATTTCTCACGGTGACAGTATTCAGACTTCCCATTCACAGCTTCTGTTTTACACTGACCTCCTGGCAACAATAGTACCATTCAGTATGTTTTCCATCTTCCATGCAGACCCTCACGTAGCAATTAGCTATTACACTAACAGAAACAACGGAACACGGTTTGGAATAATCCTTTGTGAGATTACACATGTAAGGCTACTAAGTAGACCATTTTATTGTCCTAAGGCTTCCTTCCTTGTAAGAGGATTTTATTGATGATGTTGTAAAATTATCCAAGATGACTATTTCCACTTAATTGCTACGAAATATCCCATATCTATTCCAAGTCTTAAACCTCAACCATGATACACTGCAGAATACTGAGAATATGCTTGCTGTTACCCTCCTCACTACAACAGCTGACACGCAATACAGCATCCACCTTCATTTAGTTATGTACCTGCATATGTACACACAGTTATATATAAGCTATATATACTCATGCTGGAGGAGACACAAAGATGTAAATACATTACACAGAAAAATCGTAAGATGTGGTTTCTGTTGTACCTCAGAAGTCATAATTTGATCCAGAGTTGAACCAGATCCTGAGAAAAGATCCTCCTCTTGCTCAGGTCACCTTCTAGTAGCTACACAGTGCTTCAAGACTAGGTTTGCCAATTATACCCTTGATCCAGAATTGTTTAGATATCCTGGTACTGTTTCAGCAAGAGCCTTGAACGTAAGGACTGACACTAACTTGATTTAGTATTTTATGAGAACCTAACATAGGGGCAGAAGGTAGTTATGCTGCTGATGTTGAGACTTTCTATGCTAGGCTGGACTCTTTTATGATCTGGGCTTCATGCCTATATAAATTGTGTGCTTGAAGCCCAGCTATGAGACAATGAACTGAGGCAAAGTCATTAATCACCTTGATGAGGTATGGATGTCAAAATGGATGGCAGAAAGCATAACTCACAACTGCTGTTATGGAAGACCTTGTGTCAAGGAGGTAGCCAGCAGCAACTCCCAGGCTCTTTGCTAAATAAACCAGCTGTCCAGTACATCTTCAACCAGATGAAACTACAGAAGGCTACTCACCAGAATGTTTCCCCCAGATTAAAAGAAACCCTTCCTACCTTTTCTGAGGACACCTTTCAGGACTGAACTCGGTAAAGCCTACTGTCTTTATCAGCTACATTCCTAATCCTAGTTAACTGTTGTTCTCCAGGAGGATTTCTCATCCAAGTATGAAGCTTCTCTGGTGACCTTCTCCCTTCATTACCACCCAGAATAAGGTACTTACATAGAGTACTAGTAGCTACCGTTTGATTACTAAATCAAGAATCTATTAAATCAGTTTTAAGTAATTCAGCTTAAGGACCACACTATTGGCAGATTAACTCTTCATCCTGTGTTAAGACTACCTCCAGTGACCACTGCTATCTTGAAACACAAAGGTTTACAATCTTTAATTAAACCATACACCTTCATAAGTAACAACAGAAAAGACTATTGTAGGTGTGAACTCTATCTGCCTTGCAGCCTGTCAGAGAACCACAGAACAGTTTGGGTTGGAAGGGACCTTAAAGCTCATCAAGTTCCAATCCCCTAACATGGACAGAGTCAGCTTCCACTAGATCAGGTTGCTCAAAGCCCCATCCAACCTGGCCTTGAACACTGCCAGGAATGGGTTAGCCACAACTTCTCTTGGCAACTTGTGCCAGTGCCTCACCACCCTCACAATAAAGAATGTCTTCCAAATTTTTTCCTGTCATAACACCTCAACTCATGAATCACTGGCACTGAAATGGTCACTGACTACACCTCCTTGCATAGCAGCAGGCTGAAGACACTGCAACCTGAAGGGCTCCAAAACGTTGCTGCTGTAAAAACTTTAAATACTGATTGTATATTAATCAACACATCATGACTGCGAACAGGTACAAGCTGGCCTCTGCAAATGGCTGAGAGGCCACAACTCTCTTTCTAGACAAAGGGAACAGAGCAAACACATTGGGGTGAGGGCTGGAGATAAAAGGACAGGCCCTATGCCTCAGAGAGATCCTTCACCAGTCAGCACGGGTTCCTAATTATACCCAGCTCCCACGTGAACATCAAGAGTAAGAGGCTGCTATTAGGTCTGACCTGTTACCAGTAACATGAAGTATCCAGTTTGGGGTATGCCCAGGTCAGCCCCTTTCAGCTGGATCACGGCAAGGATGGATTCATCTCCAGCTCCTACAGCTGGAGAAGCACAATAACATCCTGCAAATCAATTAACCTAAACACCAATTCCCCAGGATCACTTTTTTAAGGTGTCAGTAAACAACTGAAATATGCAACCCCGCTATGTAACTTTGAACAGAAAAAAACCCCTCTCACGAAACAGTAAGAACTTTTAAGTCCTGTATTTTCACACTGGAAAAGATGTTCCCTCCAGCTTTGTACAACAGAATTATTTTTAAAAGCAAACGTAATTAATCACATGCCACTAGCGTTAGTAAAAAAACACAGAATCCCTGTAAAGGAAGACAGCTGCTAAGCCTCCTCAGCACTGTCAGACGAGAACCAGGAACAGGTCTGGAAACTTTGATAGGGTCTGAGGTAGGTCTCGATTTCTACACACAGAAATACCATTACTGTTGTACTTTGAATCATTTAAGTTTTACAGGTCTGATGCACTCCTGTAAGACAAAGTTAAGCAATCAGCTATCTCTGTTCACTATTAACACAAAACCAGACGTTGCTCCTTACCTGTGGCGGCAGCAGCCCTACTGCAGGTAAAGCGAAGCTCCGGGTGGTCTGCGCCAGCGTCCTACAGCCTGGGGTGAGGCAAGGGCTTGTACCTATGCCAGTCCATGCTGAAACACCTCCCAGAGGCAGTTTTAAGTCAAGCCTGGGACGAGGTGCTCCTGTAACGCCTGGCAGGCCCACCGAAGAGAGAACCCTACCACACTGACCTTGCACATCAACCACCAGCCGGTCCCCAGGGCAACAAAGGGCCCCGCCCCTCAGTGCCCTCAATAACTCCACCCCCTTCCAGAAGTTTCCCGGGCCCCGCCCCTCAGTGTCCCCGCCGAGCTCCGCCACGTTCCAGCAGGTTTTGGGCGCTGCGGCACACGTTAGAGCGGCCGCAAGGGAGCTGGCTTCTCTCCGTGCAGAGGTTTCCGTCAGGCCGCCCTCCCCCCCGGGGCAGCGCGAGCACCGAACACCGCGCCGGGGCCGCAGGGAGCGCTGGTCACTGAGTGCGCCGCCGGCACCGCGGGTGGCCAGGCCTGGGAAGGGGCCAAGGAGACCCTGGCCCGGGGTTGCCATGGGTGTGTTCTTCACCTTCCACTCTTAACCGGGAGGAGGTGAAGAGCAGGGAAGCTCATCCTCCATGAATGCTGCTCTGGAGACGGGGCTGTCCACTAACAGGGCTAGCACAGTGCTGTTGGTTAGTGACGTGGTTAAATCCAGGTGTGAAAGGCATTGCCAAGCTGGGCCTGGAGCCAGCAGGTCAAGGGGCAGGTTAAACTGGTCCCTGTGCTGATGGAAGCATCAAGGCAGAAGAGACAGGAGAGGTGGGCAAAGTGCCCTGGAGCCACTGCCTTTGGTCCTGGTCTGGAGCAGGAAGGTCTCCTCCAGCTAAGCTCTGGTTAGCAGGCTGTCTCCCAATGGCTCCATTGTAGCCAGCAGAAAGAAACACAGTTACGCTTGTGTGTATACCAATATCCTTAAATTGGCTTACAAGCATTAAAAGGATGTAAACAAGAAGCTGGAACAGTTACCAGGAAGCTATATGCAGCATTGCACAGAAACTCATCCCTAATCAACGCGGATAGTTGCGCAGTGGGTAATGGGAAAAGCCAAGCAGAGGCCATGGTACAAGCTTGGGCACAATTCTGTGGAACGAGAAGTCAAATGTTCCCACTTTTATATCTAAAAATACTAATAATGAGTAAAAATAATCTTAGATCACAGAAAATATCATCCTGTCTGCAAGGAAACAATATGAAAAGGGGGCTTGACAAATGTGCCCACCCCTAAGGGTGTGCAGGGCACTTTCGCTCACTGAGCACTGGATCTCAGGTGATGCAATACAGCTCTTTGGTCCTCAATGGCATCATACTTTAAGGAAGCCGGTGTCTTCTCCAGCGTAATGACAGTAAAAACATTCTACTTACTGGCACAATGACAGAAAAACCGAAGTTACTGCCATGCTTCAGTAACTTTGGACCCAAACTTTGGAAGAAATACGAATTTGTATATTTTTTCTTCTCATAACTCACCAGCATTGCCTCATTTTAAAGATTCAGTACCCAAACACTTGTTTTATTTTTTGAGAAGAAAAATAACCCCCAAACCTTCAATTACCAAATACATACTTGCAAGCGTGGGAAGCTTCAGCAGGGCATTGTGTAGTTTCATTTGTGAAGACACCTGAGTGGGTTGTCCTGAAGGTGGTTGCAAAAGGCCACGTTGCAGAGTGCTCAGGTTTAAACAGTGTGTGGGATGAGTGTTTCATTGGAATAAATCCACTTTTATTACCCTGCAAAACTGGCAGAGACTTCTTTTCCTTTGGTACTTAGCAGGTCAGCTTGACAATATTGAAGCCAGGCTAGAGAGTTATTCTGTTTCACTGTGCCAAATCAGATCTTCAAACTCTCAAAAATCAGGTACTGCTAAAAAATTTGAACATGAGCCTTCACAATCAGTCTCACTGCTCTGACAGCAGTGCTGCCTTCCTTCACATGGCTTCACCTGAGCAGTGTGGGTGATCTGCAGCTCACCTCCTATTCAATGCTATACAGACTTTTCCTAACACTGCAACCAGCATTAAAATGTTTTCCTTCCACGCCAAAAAGCCTAACATCAGAAGTAGTACTTGCCTGTTACCATCTGTTGGTTCTACCTCTTCTCGGCCAACAGTCCCGCAGAATTTCATGGGAGTACTTGGTCATAAAGACTGAGAAGATATGAAATTACTGCCCTCAAGCGCCAAGGCAGGATCACAAGGATTCCTGCAGGATGTCAAGGGATGTTTGCTCACCTGTTCTCAAAAGCCTCCAGTAATCAACATTAATATAATTATGCTTAAAAATTTCATTCAGTACTTCTGCGCCTCTACCATAAGGACTTACTAGTCCTTACTTGCTAGTTCTTCACTACTTCTTGCCCTCTGTATCACCAAGAAGAGATTATTCACTTCACCTTTCAAAAAGTCTGGTAGATTTAAGACTTACATTTCCTTCTGTCTGCTCTTTTCTAGGCTGAACCTATCCAGTGTGCTTCTTGTCTCACTGGTTAAACGTTACCAGTCTCAGTTCCCTCTTACTGCTCTCTTGTGTGTTCCTTCCCCTTGACCCACAGCTGGTTCCTGCAGTGGCGGGGCCAGCTGCAGCAGGCCGGGGAGGCCGAACCCTTGCTTATAGAGCAGGGGGTGGCTTCAGCATCTCTCAAGGCATTTTTCTGGTAATCATCCCAGGACAGTGTTTCTCTTTTCACACCACCATTATGGCATTTCTGACCTGAATTCAGAATGTGATACATGGCAATTCCTAGGCTCTTTTCTGAAAATTGCTATGCAGCCAGTAGTTTCTATCCCCTATTTTAGTTTTTTAACAGCTCCTGCGAAGTGTAGAAATTGAATTTTCAGACCTATTGTGTTGCATTTTTTTCCAGACTAGTTATTTAGGTTCATTTTGAATTGCAGCTTTGTTCTCCAGTCTCCCTGGATTGCACTCTGGCTGGTGCCAGCAGAGGGGGGCTGCCAGCATGCCAGAAAACAGGGCTGAATTCCACATGGTTGCGATCTGCTTCACTGCCCAGCGAGTCCAGCAGCATTTAATTTGACAAGAACTGGTTTGGTTACCAATGGAAAAATACAGTATTGGGCCCTGAGCATCATGTAAACCGAAGAGACTGACAGTTAATTTCATATTTATCTACATGCTATTAAATATTTAGAATTGAGAAAGTCCAAGCCATACATTTGAGGATGCATTGCTACCAGGCAACTTTCCCTGTCTGCCTTTCATTTTCTAAAGGACTTCTTCTGGTTTATGTGTTAGTATGCTTCTGTGACTGACTGCTTTTTTATAAAAGGAAGGTAATGTAGTTTCAGAAAAATTATTTAAGACACTGACACGTAAGATCTTGGCACAGGAAGAGCGCACCACCATATTTCAAATTTAGTAATTTATTTTTTACTACAAAACTTTTTTGTCTTAACTCACTTACTACTTTCCGACACACATTGAGATACTTCTTCCCCTGCTCAGCACATCTTAAAAATGAGCTGAACTTACTTTTTTGTCCAGCACTGCATCACTAACTCTGAGAAAAGTTTCCCAAACTGCTTCAATTCAATGTGGCAACGATAAAGCAAGCAGGTATCTGACCTACTGCTGGACTCCAGAAACTAGTCCATCAATTACAAACAATTTGAAACCTGACAAGTTGGTTTGATGATTCTTTCTAAAGCTCTAATTAGCATTTCAAACTTCTGTTGTAGATAAAAAGTGTACACCATGTTTGCAGCGTTGACATTAAAACCAAATCATTTTATAACAGTCATTAGAAATTTCAGTTTAACATCCACGTTCTTCTAATCAACATCACTGTAAATTCTTTTGTCCTGTAAGACAAAGGAAATTATGTTTAAAAAGGTGGCAGTGAAAGAAAGCATGGATAGTACATGATGCTGTACAAGTCACTCACTTCCATCAGGAGAAGACAATGTAAACCATTAGTGCACAGCCCACTATCCAGCCAACTGCGAGGAGTATAGGTACAACGAGATGTGAAAGCGGAACTTGGGCTGAAAGAGAAAAGATGGTCTTCTTCAGAAAGGTCATGTTACACTGAAAAAAAATCACTAAATTCACCACATCGAACCCAGTTACCACAGAGCAGTAAGATACCTGTGAGCTCAGGTTGCATTATCTACGATTGCTATTTTTAGTATGGAGTCACTGTATCTTCACAGCTGTATCTTGACATTCTCCTAATGAGAATACCTGGCAAAAGCCCAAAGAGATTTTCATGGTATGTCCTCTGCAATCAGATAGGTACAAGGCTTAGCACTTCCAAAAGCAGCAAGGTACAGGGAGGAGACAGAAGCATGGTTCTGTCCTTGGTCTCCACAGGTCATCAGCAGAACATCTGTACTAGGCTTTATTAACAGCAGCTGTCCTGGCAAATTGAGGACCTTATCCCTGACATTTACAGCACCTTCTAGAAGTCTCATTAGGTTAGCCACAAAGTGACTATCATCACACCCATTTACAATCAGTGTGCCTGGGGCTGCAGTGAGGGAATGCTGTATGAGTTCCTGCATGCCAAAGGGATGTTCGCCAGCAGCCGTGTGTCAGGGACTCACAGCTTATCTCTGTGCACAGTGCCCAACTTAGGCCTCTCCTACCCTGTCACTACAGTGATGTGGGGTAGTTAAGACTGATGGAATTACCCGCAAGGATGTTCCCCACTTTCAAGTAAAAAAATAACAGTACGCCTTGCCTGGCTGAGTTGGGCTGGGCACAAACATGATGTCCTGCCTGTATTGTGCAATAGTACTAGAGCAAGCTGAAAAATTAACATAGAGATGTGCAGTCCAGTGCAGGTTATGGTTTTTCAGGGAGCATGCTGGAAACAGGACTAGCACAAATACAGTTCTGTACGGCATGATAATTTTAAAGACCCTCCTTTAAGTTTCCTGCAAATAGTAGAAGCTTGCCAGAAAGCAGCATATCAACTTTTGAGATGACATTACTTACCATTATATTACAACAAAGCATTATCTTTTCTGCAGTTGAAAGATTTCCAGGTTTCTGAAGGGATTAATAAATAATGTAAAACTATTCACACCACCTTGCACAGTTTAGATCAAGCAGACAGACTTTGGAGGGATGCTTAATAATTTAAGGGTTTCCGCATTGCTTTTTTAAAGCTATGCCAGCACAAACATGTCTCACTGTGATACCACATAGTGTATGTACTGAGAGAAAATACAGACAGAAAATCTGCATGGGCTGGCATAAAAATATTAAGCAGATAAGCAATCACACAGCAAAGACAAAATCCTGCTCTGAAGCTGAGAGTCCTTTTGCCACAGAGGAGTCCTTTACCTGTTTCATTTAAAGACTGCTACTCCTTTGACACCTGGTAAGGTAAAGCTACTTCTTTTGAGAATCATTTCTCTCGACTTGCAATTTTTTCTAAAGGTCCTGTTACAAAAGAAAAGGGCTGGATCCTGCTGGGATACATGGGGGAATTTTGACAGAGCTGTGTTGAGTTGCCATGGTCTCTGCTGAATATGGTGTTTTGTTATATGAGATCCAGTTCAAATGCAGTAAGACAAGAGAGGCAGGCAAGTCCCAGGGGGTCAGCAGGAATGCTGTGCCCAATATTTGTCATAAAGAAGCAAGCAGCTGGCTCCAGGGTATAGAGTTTCCTGAGAGCCATTGGGAGTACTTGTGTTTCATAGTTTAGGAACAGAAATGACCATGAAATCATTTGCTCTGATCTCCTGTATGTCACAAGACAGGTACCCCAAGACTTGAGATAAATCAACTGCTTGGAAGACTGTGTTTTATGCCACAAGCAAACATGAGATAAGCACAAGGCTAGGGCTTGGCTGGGTGAGATGTCCAAGCAGATCACCCCTTTGTAAGGCCTCAGAAGAAGGTGACAAACTCAAAGGTCCTAATATTTGGTCCAAGGGAAAATACCCTGAGTCTAAATGTGGTAACTGGCATTATCCCTCGCCATGGAGCAAGGCTGTGTGCACCAACAGCCGGAAAGAGAGCATCTGTGTCATCCACTTCCCAGCCTGAGGTGGAGATGGGCATGGAGGGACTAGCAGCAGAGGAACAGAATACTTTTAGGCAGCTGCGTTTTGGAAAGAAAGAAATCCTTACTGATACATGCAGACTAAACTACAAGGTTTCATTATAATCACTGTTTAAATTAATTCACATGAAAGCAGTATACTGAGGGAAACGTATTGTTGAGGAGCAGTCACAAGTTTTGTTTTCAAACAGAACAAAGCAACAAATCCTAGCTTCTGGGGTTTGAGCTAGAGCCTGCTGAAATAAAAAGCCCATTCTGGATGGCAGCAAGAATAAATGAAGGAATCTCACTGTCACCTATGTATGTAAGCTTGTATTCTAGCTACAAATTACTTTTTTTTTTTCCCCATTATAGATGTTTTTCCTACTTCAAGCATGAATTTATCTCGAACAGAGAGAGGCTGGTCTGAGCAGCAAACACACATGACTTTTGCTGTGCGGGGTTCCTCTGCGTGGGATTGACAGACTCCCAAGCTTTGCATTTTTGCAGGTTGAAAGCCTCTGAAATTGCCCTCCACAGGATGCCTGGGTACCACAGTGAAGCCAAGGATCCATTTGCTACAGGATATCACAGTACAGGTTTCCAAGCTAAATAGAGACTAAATATACTGAGAAATTCAAGCTGATCACTGTAATTTTTTTTTTTCTTTTTTTTGCTGGGGTGGTGGTGTTAGGTGTCTACCTTTTATCCAGACCTGAAGGTTGCCGTGATTTTGCAGTCTGTAGTTGGTCAAAACTCCTCTGACAGCTACCACAAGCAAACCAATGTGTGTGGTCTCGCTGAGCTGTCTTCACCCCTGAAATCTCTGGGCCTAATTGCACTGATAAGGGTGCCCCAAAGTACATCGCAGAAAAACTCCCCGTTAAACAGGCAGAGGCCTGGCAGGTAGAGAAGGGGATGATTCCCTGCCTGAGCCTGTTAAGCTTGGGCTCGCAGTCTTACATTCCCTACACCAAAATGCCAAAATTTTCCGAAAGTTTTCTTTGTATTTTATCTCATACAGGGTACAGGCACACACACAACCAGACAACTGGCTCAGCACTGGGACAGCAGTTTGAACATGACACTAGTCAGCAGGCTGGGAGGGAATGTGTGCGTGTCCCAGAGGACCATGCCTCCTGGATGTCTCCCAGCTGCCAGCTCCAACAGACAAGTTTTTCTGTGCTCCTTATGTGCTTCGATATACAACTGAACCACAGCACTGATGTTGACAGGCTCCTGTGGTGTTGGCATTTGCCAACTTTGTATTTAAAACTCACATGAACTGGGCAGTTACTCATTTCAGTGAGGTTGCCCAGCCATTTCTAATCTGCTCCTTGCAGAGGGCGTGCAGGGCAGGACCAGAGGCAATCAAGCACAGCTGCCCCAGTGTTGTGACTCCCGCTGCCGCCCAAAGGCTGGTGCTGGTGCCAGCCTGGAACATCTAAGTGATTACAGCCACAGTGCTTCTAAAATAAATAAATAAACACACCCCACCCCACCCCAAACTAAACACAAGTAACAATGCACATCCTACAAACGCAAAATATGATCAAGTGATAACTCCTAGTGGAATACCACTATCAATATGATTTCTGCAGATATCAATGAAAACTAAAATTAAGAAATACATTCAGTGTCCTGTTGTAGCTGCGTTTAGTAGAATTCCACTATCCTTCTTAGATACCAGTGGTGACAATGCAAAAAAAAAATAAAGGAAAATAAAAGTCTTTTAAAGACTTAATATAGCTGTGAAGATGTATTTAAAAAGTTAACTTCTACAAGGAAGAGTACTGCCTGTGTACACAGCTAACACCATATTTAAACTTAGTCATTTCACCATCCCAACAGTGGAAATAAATCTTACATCTTACAGTGAAGGAAACAGAAAATTACAATGAATGTAATATGCATTTTTATAAATGCCTTTGCTCCTTGGAGAAGTTGGAAATGTGTTTACAATGACAAGTTCATTATTAAAATTTCATTTTGCTCTGCCACTTGGGCTTTGTGGGGTTAAAATATAAAGTTTTATATGTTCACCTAGCATTACACTCAGATTTCAGCTGCACAGTATTTTTAAAATGCTGTCAAACATAACTCATTTTATTATGTTAGTAATACAAACACACTCCATTTTATTACATTAGTCAATTTAAAATTACAACTACAAAAAACCCAAAGAAAACAAAACTGATAGGATGCGGAAATACAGGAGGAACCGCAAGCTACGTTAAACTCATTGCTGTTAACAGAATTAGCTTTTAAACTGATTACACTTTCTTACTGAAGAGTAAAATATATAGCGTACTACACAAGAATACATTACACTGCTCAGGTCTGAGTTTTAATACTACATTGTTACACTCACAGTTAACTCTGCATCTTACCTGGTTCTGCCATTCCCCCCTCTGCTAGTTTTATTGGCAAGTTTTAAGGTTTGCCTCTGCAGTTGTTCTTGTGAGCCTCAGGATGCTTTAAATAGAGCAATATTTGGAATGTGCTGCAGCTGCCTTGCTCACTGATGCCAGTTTTTGGCTATATGCGTTCAATTGTCTAAAAAGGCAGGAGCTGAAGGGATTCAAGGTTACGTCTTCCTATTCATGCAACTGCACGTATGTTTCGGTGAAGACTAAATAAAGATGGGTCAATTTTTGAAGAGGGAACAAAAAAGGGTAAAGCCTGCTTTATGGCCTCTTTACAACCGTGAAACACCGGATGGCAAGTTTATGTCATATTTATGTGCATCCATATATTTAAAGTATGACAGGGGTCCAAGTTGTTCTTACTCTTCCACATCTTTTCTAATCCCTCTCCTATCAAAAAAACAAGCCAAGGCCTATTCAGTAATACCTGGTGCATGCATTTCTGTAGTTACAGCTACATACAGTTATAGGCTATATATGTTATATATATATATATACACACACACAAACACATACACACACACTTGCTAAACATCACCAAGTATCTTGTACTCCACAAAGTGCAGAGGTACATTTAGCATCTTCCCTATGAAAGATTACAGTGTACAATCACAGGTTTTCATTGCTCCTGTGGGTCGTGGGTAACAAAATTCAAGGGAGGAACATTTGTAAGACAATCTGAGAATGATTTTGTCCTAAATAGGATAAATCATTGCAAACTGTCTCAAACTCAGAAGAGAAAAAAACATGGAGCTAGTGCCAGATCTGAACCAAAAGGAGAAATTGCATGTTACGCAAGCTTGTATCACATGAAGGAGAGCTCTGTATAAGGATCCCTTGCTGTGATCCTGGCCACAGTTTTTGACCAATAAGAAACCCACTCAAAGTTTGTTAAGGAAATGAAGCCCTGTACATATGCTTCAGTCATTCAGAGAAACACACAGGTGCATCCATGTTAGCAAAAAGCCCCTAACAGATGCTTTGTTTCAACAACAGGAGGACATTTCCTCTAGCATTCATCAAGCTTATATAAAATACCATTTCAGAGCTGTGCCTAAATGAGACAGGGATTCTTCCCATGTGTTTCCGAAATGGAAGAGGACACAACTTGCTGTTCAAAAGCCATTCCAAAACAGGTACATGGGATGTTTTGAAGAAATCTATCTGCATGCTTGTCTAGTTTGGAGGCATTGGTGTGGGCTCCCAAAAGACAAGGCAGAGCACAGAGAGACATTATGCAGACCTTCTAAGACAGATTATAGCTTTCTTATGTGCTTTTTGCTTAAATATTAAGTACATTAAAAAAAAAATCTGTTATCACCTTTCTTCAGAATTGTTTCCTCTCTTACAGTGGCTATGGAGATCGATTCTTCCTTAGAGCTATTATATCTGACAGCCTGAAGAAAAGGAATTAAGCCAAAGTTAGACTCCAGAGCACCAGGTGGAAAAAATACCAGCTTTTCATACCAACACAATCTAACTTGTTCCAAAGCAAGTTCATAACTCAAGTGTGTAATTGTGAAAGGACTAGAGCTTTTTATAATGTAAATGCAATACCAGTCCCTACCAAGGAAGCGTCTGTTCCTGAACACAGAAGCTGCTTCCCAGGGTTCCCTTCTAAGTTCCCTGCCCACCCCATGGCTGAAGAGGCAGAGCAGAATGGTGCAGATACATGTCCAATGCTACACATAGAAAACAGCTGGGAGAGACAGCCTTCAGTATACCCACAGCAAATGCAATTAGATGTCTGGCTATTTTTACAGGAATAAGATTCTTTTTATCCTAGATGGAAGAGTGGAAACTGTGGGCCCCATGCTACATGACTTACATCCATCTGCAGAGTACTTGCATCTGGAATGAACAACAAAAAAGAATGGCAGAAGAATATTCTAAATACAATTATTTGTATTGCTGTGATCAGTATCTTAGAAACCATGCTAACACACATACAGTGTGACTGAGCAGCACTCAACTCTGGTAAAACTTTACTGAAGACAGTTGTTTCACATCAGCAATGACTTTAGTTGTGTATAGATTGCATACTATAAACAATCTTACTTTTTTGGTCTTTTGAGTCTGGCATGGATTTTAAGATGGCAGTTACGGAAAAAAAAAAAAACAAAACAGAAGCCAAGTCATGTCACCTAAGGAAGTTTTCATCAATTTCTGCAATCAGTATCTTGACCATCTTGATCCTCAGTCAGTTTGTGCTCTCTCAGACTCTTGTGTTTCTGTTTGCACAATGAGATATATCAAAGTAGGTACTTCGAGGCATTATTTCCAGTTCTGCAGATGCAACAGAGACATGGAGCTTTACTGTCTGCCCAGTAATATCAGGTTCATAGCAGGAAGTCTCTTCTGACAGCAGAACTTTGCTGGCTGAAGGATCAGACTCCTCCTTCTTCTAGGAGGAGTACAGGACTTACAGGATTTTTGGGGACCTGAAACACCTGATTGCCAAATAACAGCACCATGAGATAACATCTTTTTCATCAATTTTAACACCATGGTACCTGCTAATCTCTAGAATTTCCCACTGGTGGTTTCCCAGCAGTTGTGACAATACCAGCAATGCCTTCAGACCAGTAAAGACTCAGTGAGTCCCCTCAAAGAATCATGTTCACCTGCCCAGGGAAACTAGTCAAAGAACTTCCACTGGTTTCTAGAGATCGGTTTGACCCAATGGGTATGCTAATATAGTAACCGAAATGGCAAGTTCTGCAAGTACTGAAGTTTTCTGGTACTGGATATGCCTAGTATGTCTCCACTGCTGGCTTTTGCCAGTCCTCTGCATTCTTGAGCAAGACAGAGCTCCTTAAAAAATGCTTGCCTTTCTCCAAGCACCACATAAGGAAAGCAGTTTCATTACTGCTCATCCAAAATGGGCATACTCTTAAAATAAAACTCTATAACATTTTGCTATGCCATGCACAATTCAGTGTATCACATCATTTTGAGACACAAGAATAAAATACGAGCTTTACATTCTTTGTCTAGCTATGCTGTAAAGCAGAGGTTTTGGGATATGATGCAATTTGGTGTAAAAAGTAATATGATTCTGTTCTTTGTGTAATATATTTATTGAAAAATACCCCCAACCCCTCTGATACAATAGCTTCATTGGCTCCATAGCTGTTCCCGTAAGAATCCTATCTGCTTTGGTTCTACTAATTACATACATGCATACACACATCTGATCTAATGGAAGTAATTTGTGCCTGGAACCAGGTATTCCTAACAAGAGAATCTGACCTTCACAGATTGGGAACTTTCCAGGCCTAGTTGCCTTAAGCAAGGACAGAGAGTCATTGCTGTTCACAACAGTTTTCCTAACTACTACCCTAATTTAGCTGCAAGCACAGTAAGTATTGTTCTGCAAGCCTAAAGCATGAGGTTAAGGATATAAAAGTTGTAACTGCAGCAAAGAATAGTGTAACAATATCGACATTATTTTAAACAACACATCATCTGTTTGGAATGGACAAGAGAACTGCAGACAAATTCTACAATAGATCTCAGTCCAACAGCCAGAAAAAAAAAGCAGAGGGACAGTTTTAAAATATAAAAAACAAGAAGAGTACACAATGCTTAAGAATAAAATCAGGAGACGGATTTGTAACAAAAAGCAATTGCTTTTTTGCCTGCTGAAGAACAATATGTATGAAAAACAACTTCCTCATTCTTATTTGTGTTTCAAATTAAAGTGTAATTTTTTTTTCTCTGTTTTTGTGCTGACATCATGAAATACTCAATATTCAGAGTTAGCTGTGCTCAGAAATAAGATCTCTCTTTTAGCCTTTAGTTCACTGAGGTACTCAAACAGATTTGGCTCACTTAAGGCAGTCTTTTGAGCAGGCTCCTTGATTTCAGTCCTCTTATCTGCTCAAAGCTAGGAATGCACTTTAAATGCCTTCAGTATTTTAAGTGAATTAGAAGAAATTGAGTAAGTCAGCAGGGCTGCAAGTCTTTCTGGAAGAGAAAGCAATTTTAAGGGGAAAAACAGTACTGATGTTTTATAAAATATTAAATTCCCTTCTTCAGATCCATGTGGACTTTGCCAAGAAGGGAAAAAAAAAAAAAAAGGGGGGGAAAAAAAACAGAGGTTTTGGATCCACTGGCTGGCTGGAAGTTATGAATGCTGTTGTTCACCAACTCCTGCTGCCGGGCACTGAGAACCCTCTACAGGCCATTTACCTGGTTTGGAGGAACAATGCCCCTAGCTGTGTTCAAAATTGTGTTCCCTGGTAGTATAAAGTGCACTATTTCACTGATGGCTATCTTTTTGGATATTCCTTCAGTCATACAAAGGAGGTGTATGAGGCTGCCATTCTCATCCAAGCCATTTTACTGTGTCTGCACCAAAAAGGCCAGGCAAGCCCTGGGGAGCTGTCTGTCACCAGCTCCTTTGCCACACCAAAACAAGGATCCACAGCATCTGTCCTTGAGCACAGTGTTCATGGAAAGTTAATGGACAAGGGGGCAATTAGAGACAGAGTCCAATCCTATAGAAAACAAGAAAAAAATCAGGCCAGCACTACCAGAAATGTTTGTACAGCTCCTTAACAGGTAGACTGGTTACATAAGAGCATTTCAGCTGGCTAACCTAATACTGGGGCCACAAGGCCAACAGATAACGTTGCCACAAATACATTGCTGGATTTGTTCTCCTGTAACAGCAATGGGCACAGGTCTAACATCAGAACATCTAAATACAGCATCTCTCCATTCTTCAACCCACCCGCTCTGTTGTGTTTGTACACATGGGGTGTTACAGTAAGCAGAAGTAAAGGCTGTGCTTGTTTAGAGAACAGTCAGAGACAAACATTTCTGCTTTGTGAACTTTGGGTTTCCTCTCTCCGAACTAGTGCTGGTTTTTAGACAACATGTTCGGGAAAGATTTAGCTAGAAACAATCACCTATCACCTCATTAAGAAGCAAACTCTTTCCCTTTTGTACCAGAACAGGTTTTTTTCATAGCACAGTTCTCTCTGAGGAATGCTGGGAAAAAAATAGAGAAAGCAAATGTCAACTGCTTGGTAACAGCAACACAGATGCTTTTGCTATGCTACTTCTGCTGAGTCTGAGTGATGTAGCATCTGATATTTGGGAAGCAACTATCAGAAAACCTCTTTAAAATACAATGCATTTTGCAAGAAAATTGGCAATATTTACTGTTTAAATAGCTAATATATTTAGAGTACATTCTAACCTTCATAATTTCGCTAGTACCTAGACAAGAAGTATTAGAATGTCAAATTTATATTATTGTTAGTTGTACTTCTGACATGTGAACATCTACATACAGTATTCAGTAGCCTGGCAAAGAAATGCTTTCAATTTACAAATTCTGTGCAATTCTTATAAATAACTGAAGGCTATATTGCTTTATATTAGAGGGACATACCAACTCACAAAATTAATGCTCCAAGTAATACCTACAGCTTTGCAATATCGGTAGTTATTTAAGCACATTTACTTCAACTGAGCCTTTCCCTTTAAAATGCCCTGATTTGCTAGCAAATTGAAAGCCATGTTTATACGCCTTAAAACGTGTTATTACTTTGCCATAGTCTCCTGTGACCTGCAGACTAACACGTGACAAATTATCAGATTATTGCATTCACAAAATAGATATGGAAAAATTGTCTAATGAGATGCATTTTATTAGTCACAGCAATCTTAGAATTTGAAACCTCCCTTAAAAATTGCCAGACATTACTTCCACTCACATCTACATCATGAAAATAAAGACTGATTGTTATTTGATAACTACACTTCTGAAGACATGAAAAGAGCCATTTATTAATCTACTAAATATTTAATTCCACACACTAGTTCCTACGGCTCGGGGTATATGAGTCATTTCTCTTAGCAGAGCACTTCAGCTGAATGCTGAGATACCAGATAAAAAAAGTCTGTAAATATAACAGAAAAAGAGCACTATCATTGTAGACATCTACATGTGCAATGTCATTTCTGGATTAGTTCCCCACTGCTGCCTAAAAATAATGTGGATAACGACGTGAGTTTTGTCTTTGTATAGCTTCATTCCAATGGCTGCTCAGTGACTGGTGAATACCTTTCTAGCTGGCAAGGAGATAACTGCTGTGAATAAATCTGCCTGACACATAATTTATGAGAAACCATCTCAGTTGGATTGCTTAGTACTGAACTTTAGATGACTGGGAGGTAAACTGCCCTACAAAGCAATGGCACACAAGGCAAGGCCAGATTTCAAAGCTTCCACTTTAGTGGCCAGAGTCTCAATGGGCACTGCAACCTGACCTAGGTTTCCAGCTTGTTCTGCACAGCCTGACGAGACCATGGACTACAGCCCACTCCATGGGGATGGCTGTATGTGAACAAAGAACTGAGTGCCCGTAACAGCAGATACTTGGAGACAGAAAGAAGGTCTGGAGCCCTGTCCAACCAAGTGCTGCACACCCTTGCCTGCTACTGAACTGAAGGACACGTAGGATGATAAACACCTCCCAGGAATAGCTCAGCAACCAAAGCTGCCCAGTGTAGGGTCAGCAACAGGACAAGTTTCAGATTATTTCCTATAAAAACTTAATGAATTTCTTCTTCTCCAGTGATTATTCTTCTGGAGGAAAACCCAACCCATCATACACTGTAAATCAGCAAGGGATTTATGATTTGGGAAATGTCAGCTTTCTGGAAGATCCATTTTATGATTTATACATTAGCATAACCTGTTGGTGTGGCTTTTACTGTGAGAGCTAAAGAAAAATCGGCATTTAACGTGCCACTCAGATTTGCACTGAATCTTAACTTCCTGACCAAGCTACTAAGGCCAAGTTAAAACTCCAGTCTTACCATGCTGCATTTTCCATGTGATTTTTCTGCTATCACAAACCCACAAAGTTCATAATCCTTTCATTCTGTTTTTTTGGATAAGAAACGTTGTGCAGTGCACCCCTTATACAGCAAAAAAGAGCGAGGAAAAGGCCTCAGTACATGTGCAGGTAGGCATGTCCAGCAGCGGCCAGGTGCCAGAGTCTTAGCCTCTTGCACTGCTCCATTCTGCTAGCAAAAAGCTAAAAGGAGCACTAAGCCACCCCCAATAATAGAGCAGACCCCGTACTGCTTTGCAGTAGTTGTGATCATGACCTACCTTCAAGCAGTCAATCATGTTGAGGACACTACATCTTCCAGCCTTCCACTGACACTGGGCTGGAATGCTTCCTCTGGCTCCAGATCTGCTGGAAGTTGGGTAGTGGGCAAAAAGAAATCCAGGCACACGGTGCCATCCGCACTATTTGTAGAAAATTCTTTCCAGTGGTTGTAAGGACAGAGAAGAAATGAGGACCCCCATGTCTGACCTGCTTGAAGAAACCTGAATACACAGTGCTCTCCCAGCTCAGGCCAGCCAGGCCAGTCCCAGCTCCCACCACTTCCCCTGCACCCAAGGGTGAAATGGGGCACACAGAAGAGCTTGGGAGGCTTCCCCCTTCCCCAGGACTGCTTGTGGCACAAGAAGAAGGGTGGAGGAAAGGAAACAGAGTGAGTGACTGCCAGAACTGCTTCCCAACTGATTTCTTTTTGCACAGCTCCCCTCTTTCCCTGGCTTGCAAAGTGACTGTTATAGAAGATGAAGTTTAAAGTTTAGTGCTCAGGATACCTTTTTACCATTTCAGACTCAAATGGGCAGGAAAAGGTCCATTCAGAGGGTGGGGAGGCAGCAGTGCGGGAGGCCCAGAGCAATCAACAAGGGTCACCTAAGGGGATTGTTATTCTCAAACATTTGGCTTTTGCCGTGATGCCCAGGCCATGCCCAGACAAAGAGATGGCAACAGCTGGATATTAGATTATGCTTTTGGTTGTTCCCTTGTTTTAACTCCTGGAAAACAAATAAGTGTACTGCTTATCTGGGATGCATCTTCAGTTCTTGGTTCAACCCTGAATTGAAAATAACTTACTAGACTGAAGATACACATTCAGAAACAAATGCTAGCTCATATGATTTCAGCTCATGTGCAGAGCAAAGTCATGCACAGGCTGAAAATATTTTTACTGGATCTTACTGTGTTCTCTGAAAGAACATTAGATCATGCCAGCAAGGAATACAATGGCAAACACAAACTGGCTGAAGAAAAAAGGATGTATTCACTAACATAATTTGTGAAAGACTTTCTAAAATGCCATGTTCATCTAAGATTTAAATTATTTATCTGATCACTCCAGTTAACCATAAACACTGGATAAAATGGAGTAAGATGATTTCAATGTCCTCATGTTTGCTACAACAAAGTGATCTTTAAGGTCCTTTCCAACCTAAACCATTCTACGATTTCCTTAGAATATTTTATTCTGCATTTTCCTATGTATTAGAAAACTACAACACAACTGAGTATAAGCTGGCCCTGGAATTTGTGCCCTAAAGTCACCCACCCTAAACTGCATCTTTTCCATCAGAAATACCCACAGATATCTTGCTCTCATCTGTACGTAGGACAACTCCCTTTTCTTAAACACTGGAAAAAGCAAGCCTAACCAAGGTTGGCATTTAATGAAAGGGAACAAAATTCAAGACCAGAAGAAAGCAACTTGTGTGAAAGCAAAGCCATACTAAGGTCAGCAGAGATACACAAGACTGCACCAGCTGAGACTCAGCCGTAAGGAAACAGCCTTCATGTGAGTGACAGAGAGCCCTGCACTCTCCAAAAACTAATCACTTCTGAATGCGAGTTGGATCTGCATGATCTCGACACAAGATTTGACACTGTCCTCCTGGAAGGACCAGTTCAGACTTCCACTGCATTTGTAGACAACTAGTGATTTTCTCCTTCCTTTTCCAGGTGACTCTGGCGTAAGTTTTCCTGTGTGGAGATGACCCTTCCTTTTTCAGTCCATCTGCTGGCGGGAGAACATGAGATGGATCTTTGTTCCTTTCCTTTTCTATAGCATATATTTTCATTTTTAAATGCATCTACTGTGCTGGGGAAAAGATGAATTTTAAAAACTACAAGAAAAAAGCACTTTATTCAAAAAAGTTGTGCAAGCCTTGAAAAGCCATTAAAACGTTACCAAGTTTTATGCAACCAGAATTAAAATTCTACAAACATTAAAAAATTGACACTTCCATGCACAGATTAATAAAGTAACTTATTTGTGAGAAGGTAGCCAGCTTTACCAGCTAGATGCGTACTGTAAACACCAAGTCCTTAAGGAAAAGGCAGAGAACAGCAGCAGCTCCTACACTTGTGCAGCAGTGCCCTCTTGCGCCAGACTGGGCAACTTCAGATCTACAGGGAAACTAGAAGGTGCTCTACAGTATCAAAGGAGGCACTGGAGCTACATGCACAAAAAAAGGTGTGGGTTTTTGTGGTTAGGTTTGTGGCGGTTGTTTGGCTGTTGTGTGACTTGGCTTGCGTTTGGGTTTGTTTTTTTTTTAAATTATTTTTGTTTGGTTTTGTGGGGGGTTTGTTATTTGGTGTCCCTGCCCCCCCACCCCCCCCCCCCACCCCCCCAGCACCAAAACTAAATATGCTGTACTTAAAACTTTTCTCAGGAAATACACAGTGGCTTGGGGCTTTGAAAAAACTGAGTGTTTCCTCATTCGGAGGTGTCTCTGTCCCTGTTCAAATGAATTCTTCTACGAATGAAGGAGGGCACCTGAATCTCGCTCTCCTCAGCCCTCGATACCCCTGTGCACTGGAAGCGAGTTCCAGTTCAGCATCGTGGGAAACCCTCCCCCCTTCCTGCCCTGCTTCCCCAGGTGTCCCTCCGTAATAGGTTTGAGGCCCTGGATCTTGAAGGAGAGGTAGGTGAGAATGTGGGGCAAGGCCAGCCCGCAAGGCCAGCCCAGAAGGCCACATAGGAAAAGGGGTCGACTTTGCACCTCAAGACTGCCTCTGATAAGAAAGAAAGAAGGGCCATTGTAGGAGGGGATTCCCTTCTGAGAGGAACAGAGGGCCTGATATGCAGAGTTGACCCTCATCATAGGGAAGTGTGTAGTCTGCCTGGAGCCCGGATCAGGGATATCACCAGGGCGCTCCCCAGCCTGGTGCACCCGACAGACTACTACCCACTGCTGGTCTTCCAGACAGGTGAGGGGGAAGCTGCTTCCCGCAGTCTGAGGGGGATGAAGAAAGACTGCAGGGCCTTGGGGCGGATGGTGAAAGAGTCTGGGGCTCAAGTGATCTTCTCCTCACTCCTTCCATCTTCCACTGATGATGTGGGAAGGAATGGGAAGATTCAGTCCATAAACGATTGGCTTTGAGACTGGTGCTACAGGCAGGGCTTTGGATTCTTTGATAACGGCTGGTTTTATAGGGCACCAGTCTGGACAATGACAAGTGAGAAAGGTTTATCTCACAGAGGCAAAAGGATGCTGGGGCACGAATTAGCAGGGCTCATTTGGAGAGCTTTAAACTAGATTTGAAGGGGGATGGGGTTGTAGCTGGGCTTGCCCCGGTGGGGCAGCGCTCCAGAATTGATGAAGACTGGGAGGCCTCCTATAATCCTAGGGTGAAATCGGTGTGCTCAGCTTGCTCCCTGGAATGCCTGTACACCAATGCGCGCAGCATGGGAAATAAGCAGGAGGAGTTGGAAACCTGTGTTAAGTCAGGAGACTATGATCTGGTGGCAATTACAGAGACGTGGTGGGACAGCTCACATGACTGGAATATAGTCATGGAGGGCTATGTCCTTTTCAGGAAAGACAGGCCAGCCAGGAAGGGTGGTGGGGTTGCTCTCTATGTGCGGGAGGAACTACAATGCACCGAGTTCTGTCTGGGGACAGATGACGAGCGAGTAGAGAGTCTGTGGGTGAGAATTAAGGGGCAGGCTGGCAGGGGCGATACTGTTGTAGGTGTCTGTTACAGACCACCAGATCAGGGTGAGGAAGTTGACGAGGCCTTCTACAGGCAGCTGAGAGCGGCCTCACGGTCACAGGCCGTGGTCGTCGTGGGGGATTTTAACTTCCCTGATTGCTGGAAGGACCACTCGGCAACCCAGCCACAGTCCAGGAGGCTCCTCCAGTGTATGGATGATAACTTCCTCCTGCAAATGGTGGATGAGCCGACCAGGAGAGGAGCGCTGCTGGATCTCATCCTCACTAACAAGGAGGATCTGGTTGAAGCAGTAAGGGTTGAGGGCTGCCTTGGTTGCAGCGACCACGAGATGGTGGAATTCAGGATCTTGTGTGGTAGGACCAGCAGAATAGCAAGTAGAATTGCAACCCTGGACTTTAGCAGGGCAAACTTTGGCCTTTTCAAGCAATTGCTAGGGGAAATCCCATGGGCAAGGCTGTTTGAAGGTAAAGGGGCCCAAGATAGTTGGTTGGCATTCAAGGATTGCTTTTTCCAAGCTCAAGATCAGAGCATCCCGACACGTAGGAAGTCAAGGAAGAGGGCCAGGAGACCTGCGTGGCTAAATAGGGAATTGCTGGGTATGCTCAAGTGGAAGAGGAGAGTTTACAGGTCATGGAAGGAGGGGCTGGCCACTTGGGAGGAATATAAGGCTGCTGCTAGAGGATGTAGGAAGGCAGCTAGGAGGACTAAGGCCTCCTTAGAATTAAACCTGGCGAGAAGGGTCAAGGACAGCAAAAAGCTTTTTCAAATACATGGCAGATAAAACTAACACCAGAGGCAATGTAGGCCCACTGATGAACGGGATGGGTGCCCTGGTGACAGAAGATACAGAGATGGCAGAGTTACTGAATGCCTTCTTTGTCTCTGTCTACTCTGCTGCAGGCAGTCCTGAAGAGCCCTGTACCCCTGAGACCTTAGATGAAGTCAGGTCAACGGAGCGGTTTGCCTTAGTCGATGAGGAATGGGTTAGAGATCAGTTGAGCAATCTGGACATTCATAAATCCATGGGTCCAGATGGGATGCACCCGCGGGTGCTGAGGGAACTGGCAGAAGTCATTGCTAGACCACTCTCCATCATCTTTACCAAGTCTTGGGAAACGGGAGAGGTGCCTGAGGGCTGGAGGAAAGCAAATGTCACTCCAGTCTTCAAAAAGGGCAAGAAGGAGGACCCGGGTAACTATAGACCGGTCAGCCTCACCTCCATCCCTGGGAAACTGATGGAACACCTTATCCTTGGTGCCATCTTAAGGCATATCAAGGATAAGAGGGTTATGAGGGGCAGTCAACATGGTTTCACCAGGGGGAAATCATGCTTGACCAATCTCTTAGCCTTTTATGAGGAAATAACACAGTGGATGGATGATGGCAGAGCGGTGGATGTGGTCTACCTTGACTTCAGCAAAGCATTTGACACAGTCTCCCACAGCATCCTCACAGCTAAATTGAGGAAGTGTGGTCTGGATAATCAGGTAGTGAGGGGGACTGCGAACTGGCTGAAGGAGAGAAGCCAGAGAGTTGTAGTCTATGGGGCGGAGTCTAGTTGGAGGCCTGTAACTAGTGGAGTGCCTCAAGGGTCAGTACTGGGACCAGTATTATTTAATATATTCATCAACGATTTAGATGAGGGAATTGAGTGTACTATCAGCAAGTTTGCTGATGACACTAAGCTGGGAGGAGTGGCTGACACGCCAGAAGGCTGTGCTGCCATCCAGCGAGACCTGGA